TTTTTACTTTTTACGTTTACTTAGTACGTTACGTAGTTACTACGACGACTACTACACTATATATATATATATATATATATATATATATATATATATATATATATATATGGGGGCAATGATTTCATGCAACCGTTGCATAGTAATATGATGCAACGACTTTAAAAAACAATCTTATGGCCATTTGTTTCATCCAAATTTTGAAATATACATTCTTTTTCATTTTAATGAACAATCACAAAAAAAGAAAAAATTGAAAACACAACCTAAAAAGTATTTTTTTAGCCTAATTAACATAAGCCGTTCATTTGGTGAGATGCTTAGATTTAGGCGTTAGAAGGATTTTTTCATTTTCAATTTCTTTGGATAGCTTTATTATCATTAGATGAACAATGTTAAAAAAATAAAAAAATGTTTTTGAGTTTATAAAGGTTAAGATCTTGAAATTCACAAAATGAATTGTCTAAATTGGTTTTTGGAGGGGACTCATTTTGACCCTATTTAAGGTTCAAATTGAACTTTTTTTTTTGGGAGGGGGGCGGGGGATTGATTATTGAGATGAAGAGAGTGTGTGTGCAAAATTTGAGGTCATACAAATACACAAACATGGTTTTTTAGAAGTGTGTCGTTGCATTATACTATGATACAACCGTTGTATTGGATCATTGCTCAAATATATATATATATATATAACTTGATCATAATCTTTAGAGAATATATAATCTTTAACATGAAGATCATGAATATGAAGAAAATAAAAATAAAATTGTTGCTTTTAGATGGACTATTTATTTGCATCCATCTTAAAGATGCATGTTTTATACCTTTGGACCGTATATTATAGCAATGTGGTTCAGCCCGCATGAAACAATTTTCCTTTTATAATTGAATTATTGATTACATATCAGATTACGAAATCCCAATCTGAGGAAAGAATTACTTTGTCGAGAACAACTATTGCGTATTGAACTTATAGAACGAATTCAAGGAACGCTGAAGTAACAACGCACACAATAAGAAAAATTCTCACATATCAGTTTAAGTTACAAACATATTGAATTGTCTATTGGGTAGGGGTGGCAATGGACCGACCAGACCCGGGACCTGACCTCATGTCCAGATATGGGTCAAAATTTTGGACCCAAAAGGTCAGGTCTAGACAGACCGACCCGTACCCGACCTAAATAATATGGGTATATGTTTGGTGGATATTCAATCTAAATGTTGCAAATATGTTTGTTTTTTAGGAATTTCCAGTTATTACCTAAAACAATAAAGAATGTGGGTATATGCCGGTATTTATAATGTTGTGCAGCATTGTAAATGTTGTTAATAATATGGGTATATGATGGTAAAAAAAATATATAAAAAAAAAAAAACTCATAGTCATATGTGGCCATAGACCCGACTAGACGCGCCAGACCTGACCTATTGCCACCCCTACTGCTGCGCACCCCAAAACAGGCAACGTTGATCCATCCAACACTCCTTGGAGTGCTAGTTAGAGATAGCAAAGGCAGAGCTGGATATGTCATGAATAATTTGGAAAGGGCACTCCAACTATTATTTTTACTTGAAAAGCAAAACAATTGAAATTAAGAGAAAGGGAAAATTAAAAAGCAAGGGAGAGAAGTTGAGCAAATTAGTAAATAAACTTCCAGAAATAAGATTAAGAATTATAAACTCTTCTTACATAAAATTGAAACACTAAAATATAACAGAAATGATAAGCATTTTATTTTCTTATGTTATATATCATAAAAAGATAAGGGGAAGCTTTATATGTTCTTTCTACGGCATAGAAGTTCTATCCTCCCCCTACCATCCAGCCGTCTATTTTTTATCAAGAGTGCCACTCACCATTTGATCTTAGATCCGACGTCTCAAAGTATTTTATTTTTAGTTTTTTTAATACAAATATTCTGAATATGAAATTTGGTATGTGCCATCTTCTCATTGGGACGCACCTATAAAAAATATTAATAATAATTTTTCTATAAAAAATAATGACCAAAATACTCCTTGAAACTTTCAGGGGTAATTGGATCATTTTATTTTATTGAAAATATCTTTTTTATATTTTTCGTTAGTGCGAGTTTAACAGAAGAATGGACGTCCAAAATTTGGTGTAAAAATAGCTTATAGGAAAAAATTTAAAAATAAAATAGTTTAGAGACGTGATATTGTGATTGGAACAATCTTAACCCTTCATTAAACAATGAACGGAATGAACGGCTGGATAAAAATATGATAAAACTTCTATGTTGCATGGGAACATGGAAGGTTTTCCCAAAAGATAATATGTTGCCATAATATATCCACATTTTCATCTTGAAAATTGGAGTATACCATGTCCATGTCCATACCCACATCAACTCCAAGGAAACATTATTGTCCATGGATACAGAGTTGCAAGCAGACAGAGCAGGAGCCTCGCCCCAGTAAAATCAGCCAGGATTAGGCCCATATTGGGAGGATCAATTTCGGGAAACAGGTGCCTTTTTGCTTTCTTCACCCCATTTAGAAGTGAAAAGCGCCTCTACATTTATGAGCGATGTACTTCTGTAACCCCACTTTTCAAAAACAAAAAGGGAAAATTATCAAAATACACATATGAGATGCTTACCCACGTATTTTGATTTGGTTTCAAAACACCCATAAAAAGATACATGATCACGAGTTGGAATGTCATTACAAGTGTAAAATGCTAAATAATGCATCTTGCATAGGTATTTTGACAAATTTTCCAAATAACAAAATGGCTAAAATCATCAGTGACCCCCAATTATAAAAAATGCCCTTGTTTGAACTGTTCAGCTGTCCAAATGGAACCTAAGATAATGCCAACAACAGGTGTTGAGCTATACTCATTAAGATTGACCTTAGGAGGCTTTTGATAACCGCATAAAGCGGTGAAAGTGCCTGACTTTCCATGTTACTGTAATTTTTACTTGTTTGAGAACAATAAAAATGAGAGAAAGTCGGAGCACAAGTTCACCACATTCATATTCCCTTGAAGAAAAGATGTTGCTTTGGCATACCCCAGCTACTTTCAGCAAAACTCATGCCATCGAAAGTTAATATTGGATAACATAATATATATTATATTATATTATATATTATAATACATTAATATTATGGAAAGTATAGAACGATACCATTTACCTTTGGTACAAAGTGAGATTAATCTTGACTATTGGATGTAAAATTTGACAGCGGCAATTATTCTATTGATCAAGCTTAAACTTCAAAAAAAAAATTATCAAACTTTGTGACATATCTAAGCTATCAAATTTCACATCGAATGGTTGTAAGTAATTGTGACCACCTTGTATCAGAGGTAAATGGTCTCGTTGTAT